GCCAACATTTTTTTACACTGTTAACATAATTTCAGCAACAATTGTAAGAATTAATTATGTGAAATATTAAAGAAAAATGAAGCATTCATAAATTATCGTACTATAAATAAATATGGCTTTTTTTTATATGATTTAAAAACCACTGCAAATCCTCTAGAATCTAACTACTTTATGATTGCAATAAATAAGATACAACTACAGTACTACTACTCAAGGCTTTTTAGGCTGGTTAGGCCTACTAAAACGGAAACTAGGCTGCACTTTAGGTGTATTATTTCCTAGCTACCAAGCCACTACAACTTAAAAGTAGTACACACAGCCAGAATGTAAAAAATGTTGAACACTGAACACATGGATTAGGCCTAGGATTAGGAAGGGCCTAGGCTAGGGCCTAACTAAATGCACAAGTCTGGCCTAGGCTAGCTAGGCCTAGGAGGAGGAGGAGGATAGGCTAGCACGTTTAGCTAGGCATAAGCTAGCCTAGGCCTAGCAAAATTGTATAATTAACGAAAATACACAAGACAAGTTAATTCTAATGATATCATATATAAAGCAAAGGCTACATTTATAGATGTAATGCACCAAGCAATGCAAAAGGTTAACGATAATCATTCTAGTAAACTTACCGAAGTAACGTCGTATTTTGTAGGCCTGGTTGAAGCTCCGTTGTTGCCATCAACCGCTCGGATTATCCCAGCTTGCCAATTCCACTCAGAAATCTTATTCAACTTCAATTTTCCAGTGCCAGAAACGCGGAGAAATCGCTTACCGACTATCTCCTCCCGATATTCTATTCCCATAATGTGCTATACACTTCACATTTCTTCGGGAACTCAACAAAAATCGTAAAATGTTACTCCAAAATTTAGGAATCCCGCTGTCAGACGATCTCCCCGCTTTCGACCTCCAGTATGCGCAATAATTCTGTTTGGGATTTCTTGTTGTGGGTCAAAGGGTCACACCACATAATAGACTCGGTGCAACACGTCGTTTGCTGGTTCCTGCTACAATAAGATGTGTCAAATAGTTCCACGTTAGAGCCCAGCAGAAAAGCACAAACTCATTTTACACTCAAAGACGTTAGCAGCAACATTAGTATGTAAACAAATCATCACGTACAGTAAACCGGGAAAATGATAACAAATGCATTTGATGAATGAATACAATGTTAAAGTAGGCCTCGAATTACATTAAAATTTGAGAAAAAAAATCGCGATACCCAAAACGTAAAGCATGATTTTAGTGTTGTCATTTTCGCAAAACAGATAGGCTTAGATACTATGCTACTTTTCTAATAATAGGCCTATACCATAATCCCATGATTAATATCATCGATGTATTTCTAACTCTGGACCCACATTAATTGTCAGATTGAGTCGAGTCACTACGATACATGGAAACAGATGCAATTTCCTCAGGGAAAATCGTGATGTTTTGGCTTATCAATCAAGGTGATGCCCGGTGACGATCCTAATAAACTGATGTTAAACAATGATAATGGTGTTAACAATAACTAATGAAGAGCGTGAAAAATCACTCTAATCTTATTTGTTATAGCCTCTAAAATGACTAATTAGGCTAAATACAATGCAAGTGTCATTGCAGGCCACCGACCCCCTCGGAGGGGTCGGTGGAGGCTCCCCAAAAGAATTGCTATTTTAAATATTTAAAGATCAAAAAGTTATCCACTTCCTTAAAGCCAACGATAGAAACAATTCCGTTTCATTGATTTACGGTAAGCATTGTAGCCTATATCAACCAACAAGTGCCGGGGACCAAGGAGGCAAAAGCCAGTAAGGTCACGGCCCCGGAGCTAAACTTAAAATACAGTAAACTACTCTACTTAAAAAAAAAACGATGTAAGTTTCCATGGTTAAAAAAAGGAATAGGCCTAACCACATTATTAAAACTACTGGTGGAAAATGTATATCTCACACAGCAGATATATAAACGTTTTATTTCCGGTCAAGCCATTGTCGGGTATGAGCGCAAAAAAAAAAAAAAAAAAAAAAAAAGAGTTGAAAAACTGCTTATTTTTTAAATTATTACGTTCAGTTTCTTTTAACTTGGAGATTTGTAATATTTTTTACCCGTCGCATTCATATTAAACATTGGATGCACAAAATCGCCTATTCGGTGTAGCATAGGTCTGCGTGATGTAAATCGATTTGAACAAAATAACCCTGTACTGGTTTTCTTAATGTGCTCAATTTTCCTGTGAGACTCTAAATAGCGTATGTCTGTACATGGTCCGCATTGCAGTCTATCCACTGAAATACTTCCAAATTACATAATTCATCGCTTTTAAAACAGAAAGAAACAAGTTAATCCAAATGAAAACAAAATATCTCATCTGCGGACATTCCGATTGATGGTATTGGATTCAGCACTGGATTTGCTATATTTTATGTTTATAACTAGAATTAAAACTAGCGGACACTCGTATTGGGCATGTAATCATATCGCGCAGATTATGTTTGCGTGTCAAAGGCCTAAATGTATTGTGCATAACGATTTGAATGCGCTGTTTGTCACCACATTCATTAGGCCTTCTTATTAAAACAATTTATATTAAATATTTAGAAGTATTGTTGTTAAGTGTTATCGCCATGTAACTTCGGATAAAATACCTGTATAATATCGTCGTCGTCGTCTCATCGTCGTTGTTGTCGCCGCCATCATCATCCTCATCCTTATCATATAATCATAATCATCATCATGATTAACATCATCGTCATCATAATCATCATCATCATTATCATATCATTATCATTATCATCATTATTATCATCATCATGCCTTTTTGCTTATGTTAAATATATATATATATTACTTCGATTAATTTTAATACATATTGATTGAATTTATTCGGTGTACTTTCGGTGTAAATGCCAAGGGTACCCCACAAAAGTCTAGAAAAAGACTTATTTCCATTGGGGTCCTTCTGGTGGTGATTGGTCAGGACACCGGGAGACAATCCCCTACTCTTTTCCGAAGAGTGTACTGTGTTCTTTAACGTGCACATGGGCCATAAATGCACACGGACCAACGCAATTGTAACTATTATTTCAGCCCTTTAGCTGAAATACAAGGAGAAGCAACCAATGGGAATTGAACCGGGGACCTATATATCTCTGGCGGTTCAGCGCACACACACACAGTGGCTACCACCAGATTAGCCGACTGAGCTAAGCAGCTCTCTTACATAGGCCTAAGCCTATCTCTCATCGCCGTTTACTGTGGTTTACTGTGGCCTTTCATGTTCATGTGTTTTTATAATTACCTGTTAGTAATGTGTCAACAATTGATTTGGCTATTTAGTAATCAATAAAATTGAAAGTTTGAACTGATGAGTGTATCCCTGAAAACTAAGTTTCAAATGTATTGTATATACTGTACTTTCATCATCCTGGATATATCTGTCTCTTATACACATCTAGATGTGTATAAGAGATAATAATAATACTGTAATAAAATGGTTGTTTACGGTGTTACATGAGACTGAGTATGTAAAAGTCAAATAATTGTCCTACATTAGAGAGACCAGTGGTTCATATTCATTTTTACTTTTGCAATTTGTGATTTTCTGTGTTTGTCATTTAATTGTGCTGTACTAATATTATATTGTTATTTCAAGTGAAATATTATTTTCTGAGGGAATGTGCAATGTTTAAGATCGTATCGTTGTATCCTACATAGGTCTCGTAATAAAATGGAATTAAGGAAGTTAAAGAAAGAAGCGCAGACGATTATTATATCACGTGTATAACGCTAGCAGTTATAAAACGTGTCCTCCTACTTCTTGGCAATTTGTTTTTTCGACAGAATACGGTAGATCCTGAAATGGCGACATTTCTTATTGGCCTTTCCTCATTAAAAAAAATGATGCCCGCGTCAGCCTCATCAATCTGACTGTATGTTTGTTCCACGGCTAAAAACCCAGTTGAAAAAAAACCCATCAACCAAGAGGGTCGGACTCATCATTATTACCATTATCATCATCATCATCATCATCATCATCATCATCATCATCATCATCATCATCATCATCATCATCATCATCATCATCATCATCATCATCGTCATCGTCCTCATCATCATCGTCATCATCATCATCAACATCATCATCATCATCATCCTCACCATCACCTTCATCACCATCATCATCATCACCTTCATCATCATCATCATCATCATCATCCATCATCATCATCATCATCATCATCATCCATCATCATCATAATCATCATCCATTATCAGCATCAACATTTCCGTCTTCATCATCATTATCATCTTCATCATCATCATTGATCATCATTATTATTATCATCATTTTCATCAATCTTTCAACCAACCAATCGCCAACATTTGTTAGCGTCAAAATCAATTGCAAATGTCCTCATTCCCACCACCATCACAACCATCACATCTTATTTATCGTCATCATCATCATCATCATCATCATCATCATCATCTGATCATCATCATCACCATCATCATCATCATTATTATCATCATCATCATCATCGTCAACAACAACATCATCATAAAAAAACTTTTGGGAGGATGGTAAGTCTTATCACTGCTTGGATATATTTTATCAAGTTACCGGAAAACAATGTAACATACTCGTTCATATAAATCCATTCGATGTCATCATCATCTTCATCACCGTCACCATCATCATCATCTTCGTCGATCGTCGTCGTTAACAGCAACAACATTATCCAAATAATCTGGGGAGGATGATAAGTCTTACGTCCCCAGATTAGCAGTTATCATCATCCTGGATATATTGATTAATTTGTTACCGGAATACAATTTAACACACCCACTCGCTCATATAACATTCATTCGACATATCTATGATGTAATATTACGTTAGAGGTAAGGGGGAATATATTTTTACCTCTATTGATAAACACATGTTTATACAGCATTGGGCACGTGAGACTGCATTTCGCACGTGACTGAACCCCGTATTTATTGAACCGATTAGAATTCTTTCACAAATAATAAAAATAATTATCTTTAAAACAGTGATTTCTAATAGGCTATATCATGTTTAATTTCCAAGAATGCATTATGTTACCGTATAGGCGTAGGTGCATGTTTTAGCAAAGTTACAACTAATCAAAGATCGTATAGTAACCTTATAAGATCTTTGCTACTAATCTTTTAAAAAGGTGTCCTATAATAACAATAATTTATTCGAACATACACTTTTACATCAGTGGCACGCGTCAATGGACGGTGCGTTTAAAATAACAAATTCAGATAAACCAAGCAACAAAAACCTACTAAATAAACCAGTCTACAAAGAACAAAATTACTAGTCTAAGCAATTTCACATAACCAATAAACACACCCACCCCACCACCCCATATATACACACCCGCCCCATCACCCTGTACACACATACAACTTTAGTATATGTACATGCAGCCCAACATAAAAGTCTAAGCAATCTTAAACACTACTACCTATAAAGGGGGCGCACTCCAGATTTTTTTGCAAATGAATTGCCTCGCCGATTGTGGGCGGTGTTACTACTACAGTACTGTACAATCAGATTTAAGTGCTATGTGCAAGCCAATCCTAGGAACTTTAACGTTTATTTTTTATTCCTTAGTAGGCCTACATTCTATTTACCCCTCAGTCTTTTATGATTCAATATTCCCAAGTACTTTAAATATCCGAATAAGTCTAATAATAATATTTATTTAAAAATACACCTTTAAATCGGTAGCACTCAATAAAGATTGGTGAGTTCACAAGAAAACAATATACACAGGAAAACTTAAAACTAAAAAATTATGAAAATTAAGAACACAGGTCAATTGGCAAAATGAACAACACAAATATTTGTGTTAATACACATAGTTCATAAGTAATTAGAAAGAGAGAGAGAAAAAAATAAATTAGTTAAACATAGTAAGGTTTATAAATTATACTCAGTAATACAAATCTTGAAATACTGTAGGCCTATATAATGCTTGAACATGCTTGATTTCTGATCGTTTTTTCACGCTCTTTTTACACAATTTTTACAGAGTTTATCAAAGACTCAAAAAGAGTCTCAATCTCCTTTGTTAAAGAAACTGTCGTAGAACCTAAAAAATATGTATTTATCTCCACAAATTATTTTCTGATGATATTTTTAGTTGGTTATTCCAAGGAGGTTAAAATAAATATTTTAACCTCCTTGGTTATTCTCTAATAATACGGTAAGAATTATTATTAAATCACCTTGTTAGCGCACATATATATTTTATTAATTGTTTCGTTAGAATTGTTTGCTCAGCCGCCGCTGCTATTAAATTTTCCAATAAGAAATATGTAAATCTTTCTCACAAATTAAATGAACTTAAGCATGTTTTTTTCTAAACTGTCATAACTTCGATTAAGTACAATTATTATAATAATTGTAGAGGTGTAGCCATGATACCGATACTCAATGTCGTAGCTTCCACGTTGGTTCCATTGATGAATACATATTGACATTAGGGCGAACTTCGGACCCATGCATTTTTGGTCCATTGACCTACGGTATGATATCGTTAATAATTTGTGGAAAAAACGCAATAAATAAAAATAGTTAAGACAGGAGTTTTACTACAGTACTCAAAGTGGTGTATGATCAGATCAGCAACCTGTTGCAACGTCTCAAGATGTCTTCCGTTGCATATATTCTACTCTTTTCAAGTGCTGCTATTACTGGAAGTATGGTATTAGCATGGGTCTACCAACGGGTGAGATCATTGATGATTCGATGTCCAAGCAAACGGAACATGAAGGGTAAAACAGTGATCATTACTGGGGCAAGTTCAGGTAAGAGGCGGGTGAACCTGGTATGGATAACTAACGATCAATTCAATGTTAGTACAATGATAGTTTTGGAGAAGCTAGTTAGGTACATGGATTGATCTTTCTAACACGTTGCTCCAGCTCCTAGCAACGTATTACGTCATTGCTAGGAGTTCAGATTCCAAAGTTATTGTTCGACACTAGTTTGTAAGTGTGAATGCATCATCAGAAAGCCAAGAACATAACATTTTACCGGAAACTTTAATTAATCGAATGGATGATTGGTTTGTTGATTATAGATCGATTGATTAAATGATTGATTAATTGATTGATTGATTTGTTGATTGGTTGGTTAATTGGTTGGATGATTGATTGATTGATTGATTGATTGATTGATTGATTGATTGATTGATTGATTGATTGATTGATTGACTGACTGACTACCGACCAATCGACCGACCGACTCGCTGATTGAACGATTGCTTGCTGGATTGATTGATCGACTGACTGATTAATAATTGATTGATGGATCGAAAGGTCGGTCGGTCAGTTAGTTAGTTGAAAGGTCGGACAGACGGATTGATTGATTAATCGATTGATTGGTTACACACGTGTAATTATTATTTAGGTATCGGTAAAGAAACTGCCCGTGATCTTGCTAGCAGGGGGGCAAAGGTGATATTAGCCTGTCGATCGGTAAGGAAAGGCCAGGCGGCAGCCAACGACATTCGTGCAACAACGAAGAGTGAGGAAGTGTACGTAAAACACCTCGACGTTTCGTCTTTATCGTCAGTGCGGAAGTTCGTCGATGAAACAACGCAAGAGGAATCAAGACTTGATGTTTTGATTAACAACGCAGGAATTTCAGGTACGTATTTCTAAAATTAGGCCTAATGATGTACTGTCAGCTATCAAATCTGAAAAAAAATATCTCCAAAATTAAATAACAATGATAATTGCTTTAATTGAAAGGATCGAATAAGGCATTAATATCCCATAAAAACAACGTGCACAAGTAAAATAAAATAAGTTTTGATTTACAGAACCTTTGATAAAATTGATTACTCTCGACAATGAGGAATGTCATCACTTTGCTGAATCGACATTACATTACATATGGTGTCAATAATTAATAAAATAAATCTTATTTTAGGCTTATGAGATCATGAATTTGCATTATACGTAAAAGCCGGGCACACACTGCCCCCAACGGTCGTCGGCCGACGCGATTTAATGATTTAACAGAGAACACATCGCTACCACGCGCGCACAACGGATAGTTTTCAATGACGATCCGTTTAGACCATGGCATGGATGTATTAGTGTATAGGCTATAATACCTCCACCTTCAGACTCCCCCCGACAATCAGCAGACTGCGTCGCATCGTCTAACGCCACACGCAGCGGATTCGTCGCCCGACGGTCGTACGACGCAGCAAGTGCCCGTTTAAGCTGGTTTAAGCATAGGCCATCGGACAATGATTACGCCAAGATGAATGAGGAACCAGGATACTTTAAGTGAATGGTGACAGCACAATAAGTCTACTAGAGCCAAAAATGCAATTTCATAAAAAAAAGAAAAAACTTTCAAATTTGAAACTGAAATAAAAATTGCAAGGTATATATTTACAGGAAACCACATCATACAAATATAAAAATAAAATTTGGAAGACCCGGGCATTGATCCCGGTACCTCTCACATGCTAAGCGAGCGCTCTACCATTTGAGCTAGTCCCCCGATATGTTAGACACGTTCATATCCCATCTAAACGTTCAAAATGGATAGATAACCGTCAGCTGCTCTATGGTTATATAATGTTATAAATGATTCCTCAATGATTCCTCATGGTTATAGTCATGAAATGCGCCTGGTATTTTGCCTCTCAACCGTATGTTTAATTGATATATATTGTATAGGTCTAGGCCTATATCTAACAACCAAAAATTATGCAATTTAAAAAAAAAAATAATTGTAATATTTATATATGCATATTATAAATATGTAGGCCTCATACATATTAATATATATATATATATATATAGGCCTATATATATATATATATATATATATATATATATATTAATAGTATCCGATGTAGTTGGTTCCACGTATGTCTCACGGAAATATATAAATATAAGCAAATATGAAAATGAAATGATTCCATACGTTGACATAATAAAGACATAAGATTTATTCAAAACGAACTTTTCGGACACACCGGTGTCCTTCCTAAGCGTTGCACGTATGACTGAAAAATACAGAGCAATTCAAATAAAAACTGTAAGAAATTAAGCAAGATAAATCCTAAGAAAATAGGCACGCAATTAGAAACTTACCGTATTGCGTGCCTACACATTAAATACCTATCAGCTGCCTCTTTTAAAAAATTTATTTATGTACTGTATAAAACAAATGCAAAACAGCAGCCAATGGCTGAAAACGTTATTGAAAATCGGTGAAAATATCAAAATAGAATGGTATATGAATAACATTAATAATATTATTATTATTAGTAGGCCTATTTTATTTTATTCAATCTATCATATTATATCCATTTACTACACTTATCTTTGAAAGCACTATGCTCATTCATCACTATTATTGGTACTGTACTATAACGCTTTATAAAATTAAAAATTATGGAAGACCCGGGCATTGATCCCGGTACCTCTCACATGCAAAGCGAGCGCTCTACCATTTGAGCTAGTCCCCCAGTTACGTCAAACTCATTCATCTAGACGTTTAAAATCGATAGATATGCGTCTTCTGGAACGATGCATTAAATCAATCAATCACTTTATTGGATCCACTTTTGATACATTGGCACACATACGAGTGTATGGTGCATCCAAGCAACATACAAAAATATATGAAAATAAAATTGTCTTAAAATTTCAAAATAACAAGTAAATCAAAATACATAGGCCTATATAAAATCAATATATAGGCCTATATAGAATGATATATGAAGATTATTAATATTATTATTATTATCTTATTTTATGCCTCCATCCTATAAATATCCTATAGGCATATCCATTTATTACACTTATCTTTGAAAGCATACCGTTATTTGTACTGTGCATAACGCTTTATAAAAATAAAATATTATGGAAGACCCGGGCATTGATCCCGGTACCTCTCACATGCTAAGCGAGCGCTCTACCATTTGAGCTAGTCCCCCAATTACATCCAACAAATTCATCTAGACGTTTTAAATCGATTCATATGCGTCATCTAGAACGATGCATTCAATCTATCAATCACTTTATTGGATCCACTTTTGATACAGTAGCACTCATACTAATGTATGGTGCATTCAAGGGTCATATAAAAATAGGCCTATAGGAAAATAAAATTGTCTTAAAATTTAAAAATAACAAGTAAATCAAAATACATATATAAAATCGATATAGGCATATATAGAATGATATATGAAGATTATTAATATTATTATTATCATTATTTCATTTTATATGTATTCAACCTATAAATATCCTATAGGCCTATCCATTAATATTACACTTATATTTGAAAACATTATGCTAATTCATTTCCACCATTATTAGTAGTGCAAATAAGAAAGTATAATACATACTCCAAGTATTGAAATACACGCCATCGTGTTGGGATTCAATATTTCGACATTAATTATGTCATCATCAGGAATGAAAAAATTATCCATATTAGCAAGCTTATAATTATGCACTAGTACCAAAAGTGTTTAACCAATCAAAACATTACCTCTAGTAGGTGACATAGCAGTGATTTAAACAAAAGATCAAAGCATTCTTACTCTAATGATCAAAGATACCTACAAAAACAAAGAAAGCTCTTCTGAAGCTCTGAGCCCACCGTTAAGCAAAGGGTGTAGTCTACGTATAGCGAACGCTTCTTTAAACAATAGGATAGACCAGTTTCGGGAGCTGTCAATAATGTTAGTACTAGAAAATATTAAACCTAATTATAAACACACTAACATCAATATATATACACATACATACGCAAACAAACACATATGTATCTATATATACATACATATACATACATAAACATATATCCCATATATCAATTTTTATTCCAATTTTCGTTCATTCAACTAATAATTACATAGCTGAAATTAAGGAGGTAACCGTAATTGTGATACTAGAATCAGTTTTCTTATATTTTGTTTTTAACAGTTAAACATTTCATCATACATTTACCACATGTCGATTTACTAGGCCTTTAATATTCTTATGAATGTATTCCTTTTATTTTTATGAAAAGAAATATATTCACACATAAATAAAATATCTTCATTGTGTAATGGTAATTTTTTAAATTATGTCATATCAGGTATCTCAAATGTAATTCATTCATTAACAGAGTATTGATTGAACTAAAGTTCCACTTTTTCAGAGATTTCAGAATTTTTGCTTTATACAAACAGAATGAACCTACAGTAATGAAATTACTTATATACTGTTTATTTGTTCCAGTTATAACATTATCAACTGTTATATTTACTGGTGTGATTAATCTATTAATTGAATCCCATACAATTTGGGCATTTACACATTCATAGAGTAAATGTTTTTCATCTTCAACTTTATTACATAAAAATCATTTGTCAGTATTTATGACGTTCCACTTGTAAAGTCTTTTATTTGTTAGTAGATTTCCAAGTAGTAATCCAAAATTAAAGTGTGCGAGCTTCCTTTCTTTTGTTTTGATGACCCTTTTTATCCAAATGTTTTCCCATGCAACTTTTTTATTTAATATTCTTTCCCAATTTATTTGCGCAGTAGATGGAAATGTGCATTTGTTTTTAATTATACTTTTATATATGTCTTTGGTTTTTAATTTGCTTATTATAATAAGGGTGTTATTATCTATATTGGTAGCGGGAGCAGTGTCCGGATTTTGATTTTTTTTATTATGCTCTTCCAATTACATGGGATCGCATTCTTTAGCATGGAAAATTCGGCTAACCAGTTTTGTTTTTTTCTTTAGGTTTCTTACTAACGTATCTGTAGACAAAAACTTATTTTTATTTAAGATATCTTTGATTTTCACAAAGCCAGAGTCAATCCAATGTTTAAAGTACAAAGGTTGTTTTTTTTTAGTCAACTAGATCATTTCCACATAGGTTTTGTTCTATAATGTCATTAATTGATTTGGGAAGTTGTTTTGTCTTGTTATAGACAGTTAAGGACTCTAACATTTTTTTTTTATAAAAAGAAGGCAATTTATTTAAGATTGTACCTTTTGGATCATTTAAATTTGACATATTTAGGTAACATTCAACAGGACCAATTTTGGACAAATAAAACAATAGTATTTCTTTCCATTTGCCCATGTCTATGTTAAGCAATCTTTTAATCCAACTTATTTGTCGAGACTTTATTTGAGACTGGAAGTCTACCATTTTTAAGCCACCATATTTATAATCTGTAAATAATGTTGTTCTCTTTATTTTCTCTGTTTTACCACTCCATAGAAAATTAAAAAATTAATTTATTAGTTTTTTTAATTATTTCTTCAGGCGTTTTAATAATGCTAACATTAAAATATATATCAGTTTTGACAAACCAAGTGTCTTTATTATTAAAACTTTACTCAGAAAAGAAAGGTTTCTCTTATTCCATGTGTCTAGAAGTCTTTCTAGGCTAAACATTTTGTCTGTCCAATTTTTTTTTGTTCGCATAATTCTTGGTCATGACCGAGGTAGATTCCTAAAAACTTAATGGGCTCTTTTGTAACCCAACATAGACCATACTTGGAGTATGTATTATACTTTCTTATCTGAGATTAATCAGTGGACCTTTCGGTTATTAGTAGTACTGTACTGTACTATAACGCTTTTTAAAAATAAAATAGTATGG